CAACGCCTCGCTGTGTGTGTACGGAAAGCCATATGGTGTCACAGGTAGCTCAGCTGCTGCGCATTTCTGTGTGTGCATGAGTGGAGTGCTTTGATGAATGTGCTTTCCCCTCAGTTTTTTTTTTTTTTTTTTTTTTACTTTTTGTTACCGTTGTGTCATGTTGCCAGAATATAACCTTTCGCCTGATAACGTGATCTTCTCTGTCGCTTCGGCTCAGCTTGATTTTCGTGCCGTCTGTTTAAATCACATCTCAGAGTGTCAGAATTCACAGCGGAAAGTTTTTTTTGTGTGTGTGTTGTTGATGTTTTCAGGCCAGCTATAACTCCAAAAAGGAATTCCTCATCATTTCCTATATGGCCCCACTTTTATTTTTCCCATCATACTTTTTTTTTTTTCCTTTTTCCATTTTCTCCCTCTCTCTGCTAGACTATATGATCATGCCATGTGGAAGTGAGCAGCTCCTTAGTCAGCAACTCTTGTGCTGACAACTCTGTCTCATTATTATTATTATTACACCATTAGGCTATTTAGACTTTTATTAGTGAACAATAAAGTTTCCCTATTTTGTATTTTTGGGTGTAAAGGCCTCCCGACCCCACTAAGGGACAAGGGTGTAAAGAAAATGGATGGATGGATGAATGGATGGCTGTAGAGGCATTAAGATATTTTTACACTAAAATAAAACATGTGGATCAGCGATTCAGTGCCTTCAGAGATTTCGGGTGTTTTCTTTGAAATTTATACAATTAAACCAACAAAGTTTTGTATAACTATAATTATGAAGTGAAAACAAGAATACATATTTTTATGCATTTGTATTCAGCCGTCTTTACTTTGTCTCTTAAGTTCATATTGCCCATTTATTATTGTTTTATTGCAATATTTTGTGGAACTATTGTTGTAATAAAAGTGACAAGAACTATTTTTATTACTAATTTCTTTTAGGTGGTATCTGTGACTGGATCCTAGTCCCACAAACACAAATGCAGCTCAACATTCCCATTTGCATCTTTAATACTCCAGTCACATAAAAAAAGTGTGATTGTACCACTGGCCTGCACATGCTCTCATTGAACCAACATTGTGGAAAAACGTTTAAAAAAAAAAACAGCGAATCCTGACGAAACGGATCATTTAAAAACAAAAAAAAAAAGTAATTGGAATTTATTGAGGCAACGATAAATCAAAGTTCTTATCACGATACAGAATTTATCACGATAAATTCCCATCCCTGTTGCCTGTTTGGTAAAACGATATGTAATTTAATCTCCGGCTAACTCTGGAGGAGCCGCGGAGATTCGCACCTCATGTGGGAGAATGTGTCGACTGTTTGGGTTAGTTACAAGTACGACGGCATACCACTGTTTCAAACTCTCTAAAATGTTCAGTCAAATAATTTCTATGGCTAAAGTCTTTTTTCTTTAAGAATATTCTAGAGGATTTAGAGGGAACGTAGTGTTCCTGGCCGCCGCACTACAATCAGTCTGATTTCTGTTGGCCAGAAGCATCACTGTTTGGAAAGTCACGGCATGGAAACTAAAGGAGCACAGCTCATTACTGCAATAAAGATGGAACTGTTTCCTAGCTAAGCTTTTTAGACGGCTAATATCAGCTCACTGTGATTTAATCTGTTCCTCCATAAAGAGCAAAACACCAAGAAGGAATCTCATCTCTAGCTCCACAACTCTCATATGTTGGTTTAGTCCTCTAGTATTGTGTGTATTTGTTTTAAAATAAATTTTCCTAAACTCGAAAAAAATCTCACTTTCTTTTAACGGATTTTCTACGCTTGTCTTGAACAAAATAATAGGAATTAATGTCATTGGTGTTGGGCACTGTTAACGTAGCTATAGCACTAATTATAACCTTTAATTCCTCAAACCCACTACACCAACTGAGCTAAGGCTAAAGTGCTAACTTCAAATCAAATTGACAGACTATAACCCTCAAGGACCAATTTAATTTTGAAATAATTCACGTTCTATAATGCCCCTAGATACTGCACTTATGTTTACATGTTGATCTCTGTTTTTTTGGTGTGAAGTTATTGGTGAAAAAAGAGAGGAAACAGAACGGACTTCTTCCTTTTCAAAATAAGAGCATGAATATAAATGTCTATCTACTTGAAGAATTCTTAGCGGTCGATAACCAAAACTTATCCGGAAAAATTTATTCAGGAAAAATTCATTTAGGGGAATCTAAGTGCGCTAAATGTTTTTAAAAGTTAGCAAAATCACAAAACGGAAAGTTGGCTCCGCATTACCAGACGTGTGCCCACCACTGATCGTAAGTGCAATATTAGCAGCACAAATATAATGATTGCTACGTGTTTTTTGCTTTAAATAGAGGCACATAGTTTCGTTAACTCAGCAAAAACTGTAGCATTTTTACTCCAGGGTAAAATCTTACGTAAACATTAGAACTATTAGTTATGCAATCCTCAGATTTGGCCATTATGTAAGAGTGGCAAGAAGACTTGAGACCCTCCAAAGGTACAACCAGAGATCCAACAAAATGTTTTGTATCTAAACATAGTCATGTTACAATAACCCAGTCAAAGTGTGGATCTGAATCAGAGTTAAAAAAATGAGGCATTCTCCATCCAGTTTGACCTAATGTGAACTGTTTTACTTTTTAATCGTGGCATAAAATCTCATCCAAGAACATTTAAGGGAAGAAAATGCAAACAAAAAGATCAAAGGGTGTTAATACTTCTCTAAGGGGGTGTAGAAAATGAATCCCACGCTACTAAATCAGCCTCAGGATACAAGTAGATAACCAGAGTCTAGATTGCAGCATCACGGTCAATAAAGTCTTCTCTCCCTGCACTCAGCCTCCTCTTTTTTCTTTTTTTTTCACCACTCAATATTTCATTCATCCTGTTTTCCTTCCTTCTGCCCAGCACTTTGTGTGCTGTATGAAATGAATCCCCGAGCTAGGCCGTGCCTGTAAGACACACCCTTTTGCGTCGCTTCATACAGGCTACCGCATGCTCACGAGCTCACATGCCTTAACAAGTGCTCTCATCCAGGGAATCACAGAAGCCTGGCCAGCGAATTACTTTTGCATTTATCTCTTTGAACAGATTTATTGTTTCCGTTTCCATCAGTTGGCGACAATAAACACGTACAATAAGATGCAGCAGCATGGGTTTTCCCCCAGTGCTTCCTATCTCTCGCTCGTCCGATTGTGCGACATCCCCTATCTGTCGGGCTCAGGCCCCAGAAGCCGTCTGTGCTGCAGATGGGCCTTTTAGCCTCGGCTGCCTGTTTACTGCCAGAGCGCCCATCACTGCAGCAGAGCGGTGAGCTGTCAGGCTATAGGATTAGAGGGAGAGCCCAGTCGCGTTGCGGCATCTTAGTTACTCCGGCTAATTAAAAAGGCTGTCTGGAGATGGAGTGTCTCCGGGCGTCAGCCAGCCTATATACAACTCATGGTAGAGGGCCAATCGCTGGTTCACATGATATTACCATGGGATCATCGGGAACGGACCAGAAATTGATTCATTATATATATCATTTATGATTAGTTAGCAAAGATTCTATTTATAATGTAGAGTGTGATATAAACACACTCCTCGAGGAATATGCACAGTAAAAAATCTTAAGTCCATGCATCTAAACCTAAAGCCCTAAATGTCTTGAATTCATGACAGAAATTAAGTTGCCCTTAAATGCAATGTCAGACACTCTTGTAAAAGAGATTCTTGATCTAAAGGAGTTTTATCCTGGCTAACCCTTGCGCAATCTTGGCGCAATGCGTAGGAGGAACGCAGGGAAAAGAGGGGTTGTTCGTCAGACCGTCAGTACCTGAAACCACACACACAAAAAAAAATATTGGAGGATGCTGTAGTGGTGCAGGGGTAAAGCATAACCCATGTATGGAGGACTTAGTCCCTTACTTGGTTGTCACAGGTTCGATACGGCCTGATAACCTTTGCCACATGTCTTTCCCCTTTCTCATTAACCAAAAAATGTTATAAAAAATAATCTAACCCTCTCAAAAACGCACGCAGAGTGACTGTGACCCCGCCAGACTGCAAACAGAGTAAAAAACTTGTGGGGTCCAAATGTCACTTAAGGAGGAGGAGAGTGGCAGGGCTAAATAAACGTTGAAGAAGAAATTATAATCATAATTCATAATCAAAATTCATATCTTGCTACAGTGAAAGCTGTTGGCTCCTAAAGTTGCTCTTTATCGATTGTGTAACACGAAGTTGACTCTTGACTATTAAGAAAAAAAACTAATCTTTTTGGTTTTTCTGGTTTAAAACACCCTTCTCCCTCTTTTTTTGTTCTCTATTAACATTTCTTTTACTTTCTTTACTGTAAAGCTTTTTCTCATACAGCTCAGTCTGAGATGCCCTTGGGTGTGAAAAATGATTTCGTCTAGCTGCGGTGCAGAGTCACCACACATGAAAAATACCAGAAACACGCTGGCAAATTGGTTTTGCTGTAATCTGCAGCTCATCCAGCTGCAGATACAGATGCAGCTCTGCTGACAGGATACACGTATATTTAGCCCGCGGTGTTATTTTCTGCTTTAAAAGTCAAGCGGGAAAACGCAGAAACAAGAGCATAGCAGCGGCTTTGAACGTGTCACAGTTAGCGTTATATATATATATATATATATATATATATATATATAATTTATTTATTTATTTTTTTATCCCCCTCCTCACCTTCATCCACCCAAAAACATCTTTGTATTTCCAACTGTATCAAATTTTGTGACTCTTAATAATAGATGGGTTTGCTGTAAATATTTCATGGTTGGCTGACTCAAAACACATGCCTGTCAGAGATATAGAGGTGTACAGAACAGGGTGGGGGAGGGGATTATTCACAGGGAATAAAGGGAAGGGACGGAGAGCGAGTGTGAAATTTGATGCCAAGAGTTTTTACCCCTCCTCGTTTTGCCTACACTCTGTAAACGGAGAATAATTGTTAATTTTTCTCAATCTCCCTCTTACCCCCTCACCCTCATCCCCGATCCTACAGGGCTCCCAGGACTCAACCGGAGGACAGGAGGGTTTAGTAGCCCCGCCCTTTACGACCTTCCCCCCTCCTCCCCCTCCTCAAAACGGCCTACCAGGGACAGAGTTTGGTCCGGGGGCCATGTTTGCCGCCGCGGGCCAAAGTGCAGTGGAGGTCGGAGCGGGTGCTAACGGAGCCACGACTACAGCCAACAACAACAATGTAAGAACTCCTTCCTCCGTTAACAATGTCTGAGATTTAACAGCAAATGTTTTCATAATCCCCTGACAAGAACATCCCCCAAAACTAATATCACCTTGAATGAGTTGAATACCTTTTGTCACTCATTTGAGACACCAAAACTTGTATATTATATAGGTTAGGGCGGAGACGATTAATCGGATGAATCATGATTAATCGGTTATTAAAACAATCGTCAACTAATATAGTAATCGAATAATCACTAACTGAGGTATGCTGGAAAAGCATAATCGGAGCATGAATTAATCCAAAACTATACAAATATATGTGCATAGACATTTTGCATTTAAGATAAATGCACTTTTGTCTGTAAATATGTTTTACACAGAACTCCTCAAGTAGCACTGTTTTAGCTTCACTGAGTTCAGATTCACTAAAGGAACGTTGTTTTTGCTTTTTAGGCAACAAATTATTTTCTTATTTAAAAAAGGAATAGATTACTCATTTTTTAATGCATTTCTAATATTGTCTAGAAAAGACTACAGTGACTACATGAAAAATCTGTAAAATTTGCCAATTTCTTCATCTGATTAACCGATTAATCATCAGAATAATTATTCTAAAATAATTTAGTTGTTAAATGAATGACAAAAAAATCCAGGACTTTTTCATAATATTTGATTTTTTAAAATTATTATTATTATTATTTTGGATGTATTTTAATATGCCTTAGTGCGTTTTGTCACATTATCATCCAAAGTATTTGACTGGAAGGATATTTGATTTTTAAACTGCTGGATTTAAATCTGGACTTTGACTGGGCCATTCAAGCACATGAATACACTTCGATCTGTTGGCGCTCTGGCTGAATGCTTAGGCTCGTTACTGTGCTGGAACATGAACCTCCTCTCTTCCGGCATCCCCCACAGCATGATGCTGCCACCACCGTGTTTCACCAGCGGATAAGTGATCGTTTGTTCAGGGCTCGTCACATTTTCCGATATATGCGTAGGTTAAATGAATGAAAATGTAATTTTATGGCATTACAGTGGAATTACCGACAGTGACATGCAGTGGGGGTTTTATTTTTATTGCCAAAGAAGGTAAAATCTAATAACCCTTCCCATCAGCTGGAGCTGAGTTTAGCTTTAATGAGCTTTTAGGAAGCTAACAGCAGATGGCCGTAACATGGTGAAGCAGGTTCAGGTTACATCAGCAGAGTTTCAGCATCATATTAACATGCCGACATCAGCAAAAAACTCAGAGTTGTGCTGCTTCGCAGGAGGAGTCTGAACCATTTTCCTCAAGTCATTATTATTATTATTATTTTAATTAGTCTTCCACTTTTAATTTGCGAGATGCACAGTTTGCATGATGTCAGCATTCATTTGCTACTTTTATTTTATTTATTTTTTAAATTTGAGCTCGGTGAAATTTGTTTATGGAGCACAGCACACTGCTTTTCACCCTGTACACTCACAAACACACACACAGATAAAGATCTAAAGCAGCTCCGGTTTGTGCTGCGCTTCAGCGTCAGAATTGTTTACTATATAAATAAACGCTGCTTTCATGCTGAGCAGCGTGAAGATTATCAGTTTCTTGACGCGTCGAACGAGCTCTCCAGCGAGAAGCAGAACTCTGCTGAGGTTTTCCACAACGACTGAACTACAGTCAGAAACCTGCAGCATGTATTTCATTTATAAAGGTTTCCACATCTTTTTTTTTCTTACATTAAAATTCTTATATTTGAGCATTCATATTCAACCTCTTTTACTCTGTTACCCCTAAATTAAATCGGTTGCTTCCAGAAATCATCTAATGTAAGTAATAAAATCGACCTGCGTCCAATTTCCCTTTGGGATCAATAAAGTAGTTACTTAATTTGAATACATTGAGTATAAATACACCTGTAGGACATCAGAGGTTTGTTAGAGAACATTACAGAGACTAGAGGTGCACCGATGAATCGGCCGATCGATTAGCCACAACTTGGTCGAAAAACTGAACACAATTGTTAAATAGAAAGGCATGGAAAAGGTTAGTCTTGACATTTTTCTTTTTTTTCTAGTTTTTCCCCTATGTTCTAAAAACTGAAAGAGAAATAAACTTCTTTTTATAGGGGATGCACTGATTGATTGATCTGTGAATTTCCGATATTTAAATGAGAAACCTACTTTTTCCACCAATATTACGCAAAGGTCTGAAAATCAACCACCATCTTCCTTTTGCTCAACCATGACAAACCCGAACAATAGTCACCCCACTGTTATCAACTGATTGATCGGCCAGAAGACAATCGGTGCAGCCCTGTTCCAAATACCATCATGAAGCCCAAAGAACAACTGAAGACACAAAGGAAAGATTACGGCCCCATCAGCTGGTTGAGGACAGCAAGTATCAGAGCTTATGGTAACTCTGGAGGAGCTGCTGAGATTCACTGTCGACACGACGGCTAATTAGCTTTCTTTTTAGAGACAAGTGCCATAAAGAAAGGCCATCAATGAAAGAAAGTCCCGCTAATTTTCACCACCAGGCATGTAGAGGATAAGAGAAACATGTGGCAGAAGGTTCTTTGTTCAGGCGAGAACAAAATGTTTGTGTTTCGGCCAACATGGAAAGCTGTCATTGCATTGATGGTCCTGGCAGATTTATATTAAATACTATTCCTCATTCATCTATAAAATTTAATTAGAGGAAATGAGATTTGTAATGGAAGAATAAAAAAGGGGGATTTGTTTTGTGGGGGAAAAATTAGGTTTTAACTTGCATCTTAACAAAAATGGCATGCTGAAATTGATTTGTACTTTATCATCATTTTGGGACCCAGACCTTTCTGATATCTGCTGAGCGTCTTGACTTTTTTCAGCTTGCATCATGTTATGATGTTATTACCTTATCAAAAACACTTGATTCGCTTGATTCTTTTATGCATGTTTGAGAAATCCTTCAATCTCCCGTGGCAACCATTCAGCTGTGCAAAACACCTGGGTGGACTTAGCTCCGCCTTCAAGGACAAAGTTCCTCCCCAAGAGCTGCACTTTCCAAGCTTCTGAGCTTCCACGACTCCACCGCTCAGCTCCTTCAGACTAGCCAGCGGCAATCAGCAAACACCTGGTGGAACTGTGCATCAGCTGGGCTCATTATAGGAGCTACTTCTCAGTGAAAAGTTTGTAAAAATGTTAAAGGATTAATAGGGGAGCCATTTGTGACAACTTCCTGAATGCAGAGTTTCAGAAAGAGCAGGATTTTTTAAAGAGACAGAGGCCCAATTTCAAGGTGTTGAATAAGGAAGTAAAAATTATTTTAGTCATTTTTGATAAACACAGCATTTTTATAACAACTGAAGGTAACATAGTTACTTGATTGTGCTGTAAAATGACACTATGTAGCTAGAAAACACATAATACCGCCCCTTTAAGACAGAATATTTTGGAGTTTGCGGACGCCGTCCATCCAGTCTCCCTGAATTTGAGCTATTTTGGAATGGATTTTCAGATGTTGTTTGTGTAAAAGTTTCCTTCTACTTCACTTTTATTCTCTGCTTTCTGTCAATCTACTGTGTTAAATCTCAATAAAAAAAAAAATGCTGTTTCATTCCTCCTCAGGGAAAGACAGAGGAGACGTCTCAGGGCGAGGCGGGAGCGCAGTGTTCTGCAGGAGGCACAGGCGCGGGCGGCTCAACGGGAGACTCCGCGGAGGCCAAGGGGACCCCCAAGCGCCTCCACGTCTCCAACATCCCCTTCCGCTTCCGGGACCCGGACCTCAGGCAGATGTTTGGGGTACGGACCGCTCCGGGCAGGATCAATAAATCAGTCTAGACGCGTGGTGAAGCGCTCCTGCGAAACGACCGCTTTCTGAGCGGGCGAGAGAGTCAAAGTGGGACACGGGGGAAGGCGACCGCGGGGGTCCTGCTAATGCGTTCAGGGGGCCAAACTTCTAACTGTGTCAGTGTGTTAGTGTGAGTCGCAAAATCTGGGGAGGGAAATGGGACAGAGCAACAGATAAACACAGTTTAATGCTGAAAATTGTCTTTGGTGTAACAGTGACCCCTAGTGTACGTTTGCTGAAAGTCTCCTACCTCCAAACAGGCTTCAAAAAGACTTTACTGTGTAATTATGCTAAATTATTCAGATATATATTTACTGAATTCCTCTTTTTGGTGTTTTTTGCAGCAATTTGGGAAGATTCTGGATGTAGAGATTATTTTCAATGAGAGAGGGTCAAAGGTGAGTCGTTTCTTTTTCTGATCTGTCTTTGTTTGAGTGAGATCAGTTCTGATGCGAACACGATGCCAAAAAGCAGTCAGAGCTCTGATTGGCAGATTTGATTTTCTCCCCAGATTCTCACTGTATGATTAAAAAAATAAATAAATAAAAAAACACACGTCAGCAGTATTCACACTCAAAAAACATTTAATAAAATGTGTGTTGCATCATCTGCCTGCTTTTATTTAAAACAGAACGGCGGCGATAAACTCTGCTGCTGCAAGAATAATGAGATGCATTGAGTCATAGTTTCTTTGCCTGACCTTTGAACTCTGGTTAAAAAGTCCCTCTGTGTACATGTATAAATATGAAAGATAGCTGCTTCTTTCTGTTTGATTGTGCTTTCTATAGCATCTACATCTATATCTCCAAACTACAGATGTTATGTTTTTCAGTAATCCATTTCAGAGAGGAAAATATTAAGTTGCGGCCTACACAGTCATGGGGAAAACTGCCGAGTTGGCAGATTTAAGAAGGTATTGCTAACGATGAAGGAAAGTTTGGTGGAGGGAAAAAGTGTGCAAGTAACAGTCATAACCACAGGCGTTAGCGTAGCGGCAATTGAGATGGCATTCGGAATATATTTTCAAATTGATTCTTAATTTAAATTTGAGACGATTGTGTTGGTACTCTTTCGTTGACAGTTTTGGCTCATATTTTTAGCAGTGAGAAACGGACCCGGTCTGTTCTACCGTTGCCCTTCCTCTCCCCTCCTCCTCCTCTTTCTCCTCTTCTTCTCTAACCTCGCTGTGTGCCGCAGGGTTTCGGCTTTGTGACATTTGAAAACAGCGCCGACGCGGAGAAAGCCAGAGAAAAGCTCCACGGCACGCTGGTGGAGGGCCGTAAAATCGAGGTAATTTCCCCTCTTTCTCTCTCTCCTTCATCTTCTCTCCGCTCCTCCATCAGTTCTGCCTGTCTCCATCCCATCATCCCTTATGTGATATGCTCTGATGCAGCCCACTGGTATCCCACTTCCCCCAGTCCTCTGCAATCTGTTTCCTGTTTGTTTAAAATCCAAAGAGACCTCACCTTCTATTTTTTTGTTTGTTTTTTTTTAAATGTGCTGGGATTAATTTTTTTTGGGGAGGGAGTGTTGCAAGAACGAAAGCAAAAGCATGCCTTGTTTTCACGCCAACCTGTCGGCCCTCTTGGCTTCGTTTCCCCGACGACGCTCCCCACGTTAGCCACGCCGATGTTCGGATTTTCCACGCAGCAGCTGGAATGATATTTGTGTAGCTGCCACCACCGGAGGGCATGAGAGAGGAGCCCGGTGAAAGTGAAAGTATGATGCATGGCAGATTGCAGTCGGATGCTCTTTTGTTTCTCCTCCGTGGCATTGGGTTCACCTCTCTCTCTTTTCCTCTCTCTCTCTTTCTTTCTGGTGCTAATGGGTAATTGCAGCAGCAGCATGCTGGTGTTCGCATGCTCACTGTTACGCAACGCTGGATTCTTTTCCAATGGTTATAATGTGTGTTGTTTATTATTTTTTTTATTTTTAGGTTTGTTTGGATACAATCATACGTTTCCTGTTCTACTGAAGCATGTGCTGAGTGTTTGAATGCAGATTTTGGTTTTCCAATGAGGGGATTTTTTTCCAGCCCGTCTTACTTGATCCACCACTTTAAGCTGGGATTTCTGCATGGGCTTACAACGGGGATCCTCCCCCCCCCCCCCACACACCCCCCCACCCACACCCCACTCTCCTTTTTGGGCGTGTGCGACTCACTTCCTGCATGATGGATGAGGCTGGATGCTTTTTTTTTTTTTTAAACTTCTGCTGCAGTACAGTTGAGAAAGACAGGCAGGATCCTGCGGTGCAACACGATTCCTTCCCTCCCTTTATCCTCCCCCCATCCTCTCCTCCACCTTCAGCCAATCAGCAAGCAGAGCGGATGCCACCGGAGCCAGTTCAACCTGCATCAGTCTCACCCATGTTCAGAGTGTCTTTGTTTGACCCGTGAGGTTCTGCATGAAATCTGCAAAAAATTAAAGAAAAGAGAGAGTGTGTGTGTGTGTGTGTGTGTTTGTGTTTAAGTCGTCTCGTTGCATGTGTCCTGTGGTGATGGTCTGTAGCGTTGCCAGGCGATCGGCAGCATGAGAGAGAAGAGAGACTGAGGACGTTTTCTGTTCTTCTCGCTTGAATTTGGTCACGATTTCAGAGTTTTGTTGACGCGCGTTTTGGACGGAACGAGTGGGATGTTTGTCTTGGAGTTCAGAAGCTCTGAAATACAGGCCTCAAGTTACGGTGTCTTGCAATAGGACTCGGACCTGTCACTGTGTTTTATTCAGATTTCATGTCAACGCAAAGTATTGTGAGACCTCAGCAGGCTTATTTCAGTCCAAAGAACCCTTTGATGTTATGACATAAACTTTGTTTTGAGTTGTAAAAACTTATTCCTCGATTTAAAAAAAAAAAAAACAACAAAAAGTTTTACAAATAACTGCGATAAAATATGGCCAAAAATTACGACTGCACCGATTGTAGTTTTCAGATTTTATGCCGATACCAATTTTTGTTTCTTAATACTTTTTTATCTGAAAAGTTGCTAAATAGGGAACAGAAGTTGATTTTCAAACCGTGGTGGAGGTTAATGAGATTAGTGGATGAGATGGATTTCCTGTGTAAATATCGGTCCAAAATTTGGGGATTCAGGCCTGATTGGTCGGCCGATCAATCGGTGCACACCTTAAAAAAACAACAACTTCTTTCTCATTTGGTTTTTAGAACAAAGAAAAATGTTATTACATTTTCTTTAAAAAAAAAGTTTTATAATTACAAAAATGTGTTTAAACAAAACGAAGGCAAAGACAATTCTAAACGATTTTCTATATTTTCCCCTTTAATATTTTTCAGTATCATTTAAACTACTTAGAGCTGACATGACATCAAGTACCTGTTAATAGTCACATTAAAGCAGATCGCTTCAAATTTGTAGATGTAAGAAAAAAAAAGTTTCCAAAGCTAAATCAGTACGACTCCTTTTGCAAGACACTGTGTGCTGATACCTACATGTGGCCTTTTGCCGTTTCTGTGTCCTCCCTGTCCACTGGCATGCGGTTAGCTGGAGAGGCCTTGGTGTGCATGGTTCATGCTTTAACATGGATAGCCGTGCGCTAATGGAGCCCGTAGCGTCAACGCTGATGTTTTCCTTGCATGTTTGTTTTGTTCTGGCAGATTAGTTTTAGTAATGAGGCGTCATTATCAGTTTCTTTGTTTAGTCAGCATGACCGCAGCTGCCTCCAGACGGCCTCAGAGCCTTTTAGAGAGGCTGAGCAGACCTGATGGTTTAGAAAAGAATGCTCCACGCGATCACTCGGTGCATGTCAGTGGGAGTTGCCTAAGCTCTTTTGTCGTGGCTTCCCATGTTGTGCATGTACTGTAGCCTAGACAAAAACAAGAGTAGACATGGATTTGCTGTGTTCAAAGTTATAACGTACTTTTCTCTGTCTGGGGTAAAACTCTGCGCTTTGAAGAAGTCAGTTTCCTGTATGCTTCCAATGTGTCCATGTAAGTGGCCCAACTACAGTTCACTACCTGCTTTCCTGTCATCACATCACATCATAGTCATCATAAATTATATATATATAATATATACACACACAAAGCATGATGGCGTGTCTCATAAGATGCTCTCTCAAACACGGTTCATTCCTCTCATCCCATCCATGGCTGTTTCTGTTATCATTTGGATGCCTAAGGATAAGCCACTGATACTCGCATTACTTTCCTTTTCTTGTCAAAGATAATTATGAATATTATAATTTCTTTAAATTTTCCTCACTTGACCCATATTTCACTCTTACGTGGCCTCAAAGCATCGTCTCTAGGCATTGGCTTTACTGAACCATTTGTGTTGTAGTAGAGAAAATAACCTTGGTGAGATGATCAATTCAGATTATTTACTCGTGTAGCTAATGGCAGACAAATACGTTTGAGAGTTTCTCTGACATCTTGAACAATTTGGAGCAGAAATGTATTAAATAGAAGAAAACACAAATTGGATTAAACGTATAACAAAGGTTGCGAGGATATAAAGGGAATCATTTTAGTGCCGATCTGTCTGGTGGCAGCAGTTCAGAAACTGTTCTACTTCGTGTCTGGGCGTTGATTAATCAGTTCCTCCACTTCTATGGTATCATCCACTGATTTAGCAGTCAGGTTTTCATCAAACGTGGACCTGCAGTCTTGTATGATAATCTGATCAACAGTGGACCGATCACACAGCCCTTAGTGTTTTATGTCTGCATTATGGGTGCAGCAATAAATTGGCTCCGATTTCCTTAATTTTGGGAGTTCTGCAAAGATCTGAAAACCAGACACCAAATCACATCTGCATGTGCTTCGTTAACAGTAGTCACCCCTCGGATGCCTACTTATCGATTTCGTTGCTATATTTAGTGACTTTTCAGACAAAAACAAATAAAAACTGAATTGTTGAGGCTCTTTTTAAAGATCCCTGATTTTTTTTGTACCACTTATGAGACGTTAAGCTACCAAAATAGCAGTTTCATTTTGTGAATGAGAAAAAAAACGTAACTACCAGAGGAGAGAACGTCGCTGTTGACCCTGAAGACCGGCTCCTGTTCCGAGCCGAGTTGTTTGTGGGCGATCTGTTGTTGTCGGAGCGTTGAGGAAAGTGACGGTTTCTCCGCAGCGCAGAGTTTTAGTCGGATATCGCAGCAGTAAAAGGCGGAAAGGCTAAGTTCTGTGTGTGTGCAGAGGTAGTGTTGCAGCTCTGCATGCAGGCTGATGGTTGTGCTGTGGGGCGTCAGTGAATACGAACCGTCAGTCCTCACTGCATGGATGTTTGTGGTGGAAGTGGATGGGAAGCGATTGTACATGCCTGACCTGGCGGACTCAGTCCAACCCAAAGCATTCCAGACTCCTGAACGGGACGCATTAAATTAAATTTGAACGAGCGTCTTCGTACGCTGCACCTTTTGCTTTTGTCCAGTTTTGGCAGATGAGCTCCATCTGAATCTGACCAATCTAAATTTTTGTTCCTGCATGACTTTTTTTTTTTCCCCCTCCTGGAATGATAAGTGACTGATGTGTGAATTTATTTTTGTGTTCTTTGTACATGTGTAAAATTGTAGAAAAGTTTGAAAAAAGAGTCCAACCTTTGTCCTCTTCAACCCTCTTTTTTTCTCTGTTTTGACTCATTCTGTCTTTCTCACACAAACCTCTGTGATCTTCTTGCCAGTCATGTTTGTCTTTTTTTATTTGATTTTATCTGACGTTAATATGTAGCTTTTAAAATTTATTTTCTCCTCTTATCTTTGCCAAACTCTACTTCCATATTTTATTTTTAGCTTCTTTTTTTTCTTTTTTTTAACTGTAGTGGCTGCCTTCATGGTGACTGGTAAAAGACGGTAAATTTAGCCCAGTGTCCCAATACACACTTTCCCCTTCATGCCGTGACTTCACCGCTAGAATGAGAATCGTTTCCTCATCTTACTAAAAGTGCTCTCGCTTAAAACCGATGGCCACAAACTCATTTTGCTGTTCTTGTTTTGTGGTGGACGATGTTTGTTTTAATCAGCTGCAAATTTACAACGCCTTTCAAAAGATATTCACACTTTGCGAACAACTTAAATGCAATTTTTGGGGGGGATTTTATTCGATACACCAGCAACAAGTAGTGCACAATTATAAAATGGAACAAAAAGTTTTATCTTCAAAAACAAAATAAAGAGAAATGATCACAAATTTTAGTCCAGACATACCTGCTTTAGAAATGGAACAACTACAAGCAAGTTCAAGTGTTATCAGAATCCCTAAAAACCATTTGGAAAGTATCTGGCAAAGTATGGAGCGAGTGTTTGTAGCTTGTTTTTAGACTTTTGCCACTCCATGGCAGCTCAGGCTGTTTGTGTAGAGTCATTGTTTTCCTTTAAGGTGAACCCCTGCGCCACATTACAGTCTTATACCCAATCCAGAGGTTTCACCAACTCTAATTTAAGACTTTTTAAGACCGCCATGAATACATGGCTTTGTTTTTTTTTACCAATGTCATCCAGCCGACTGCCAATAAATTTACACTTACCGACAAAAAACTAGACACTTTCCCATTGGAAAATGCAAGAAAGCTAGCTAGCTAGCAGTATTAGCAGCTTGTTACTCGTAGCCTCGAGATACAGAATGTAGCGAGTGATGATGTCTGCAACTCAGATATTTGCCTGATACAAAAGTCCCGTAAGAAAAAAAAAAAGCCTTCATAACCACGACAAATTTAAGGCCAACTTATCTTCTCTTTAATGACTTTAAGACTTTTTAAGGCCTTGATTTTAGCTTAATGAATTTAGGACTTTTGAAGGATCCACAGACACCCTGGACTGGATTTAAAGATATGGATGAAAGAGTTTTAAGATGTTTGTGAAAAACATGTTTAAGACCCTGAGTCATTTTCCTTGCACTACTTTTTGTTGGTTTATTTGCCACGTAAAATCCATCAAAGCTGAAAGGGTGTGAATACGTTTGCATGACTTAAAGGTGTTTTAGGCTGTTGTTTACCACGGCCCTCTCCAGTGAACCAGATCTGCTACTGGTCAGACTGGTGGTTTGAGCGTTGAGAGTTAGCATCCCCCCAGGCCCCTCTTCCTTTTCTCTCCTCTCTCCTCCTCTCCCTCAGTCTGCTCTAAGCTGACACTGCTGCAGTCAGGTTGTCTTTTTTATTTTTTTGTTTTTTATATTTCAAATGTTGGCAATCAGGGGGACAACTAGGTTTCTTTTATTCCTAGGATGATTTGTTCCTTTATTTATTATATTTTTTCTGTTTCCCTGACGACTTCTGTGTGTTGTTGTCAGTCTCCACGGTAACCACTCGCTGTTTCCTCGGCAACGGTAAGTTGTGTACAAACATCTATCACTGAACTGATCCCTTGAAAAGAAGGCATTTGACAGTATTCTTTCCAGGCTAGTGCAGTCAGAGCGAGCGCCATGACATCTCCACGTGTGATTTATTTCTTTTATTTTATATTTTTTTATTGTGTCTGGCCCCTTTAAGAATAAACACAACACATATCTATATATATATATACACACAGACAGGTGGACATGACATGTTTAACTAAGTGTAATACCCTGTTCACACTACGTCATTAACACCTCACTGGGAATGACTGAATGTAATCACCTCCTTCTATGCAATGACACATTAATTCTCCATTGGACTCGATATGTGCAGCATTCATCTTCTCGTATAATGAAACCCCATCAGAAAGGATGTGAAGCTTTGCTCCCTGTTGCTGCCCACAGTTTCTTTCAGCGAATGCAAAGCTGCAGGGCAAATAAGGCTGCTCTCATTTCCTTTTTTTTTTCTTTCCTTTTTTCTTTCTTTCTTTATTTTTAACTGGCCTGTTTGCTTTAGGCAAAGATATTTCAAACGTTTAGCAATTGGAGCCATTGAGACTTTGAGATTCTGCTGATAAAGGAAAGGATTTCACGCAGGCGTATGATTGATGTCCTAACATGAGGCCAGACGCGGCGCTTGGTGCACCGCGTTGGCAGACGAGGCCGTGACTCCCCTGCCTGACTTTAAAAAAAAAAAAAATTACAGGAGTTTATAAATGTACAACATGATCTCACCGAGGGGAACATTTTGAATAGCTACAGTGCCTGGTAAAAGAAGTCAAACTTCTTGGACTTTTTTTTTTTTTTTTTGCACAAGAACCGCAGACTTTATTGTGCTTTTATTAGTTTTTATGTGGAGTAGTTGGAAAATAAGTGAAATTATGAAACAAACGATATGTGGCAAAGACATGATGGCAAAATGTTGACAGGTTAGCCAGCAAATTGAGGCCAAAAAAGTGTTTTTAAGGTTACATTTTGTGGAATATTTAATTTGTTCTGACTACTTTTGCGAGGCACTGTAAATTTTAATCATTTTAATTTCACTTTATATGAGCATTTAAATTAGAATGCTCTAAATCTGGGCTGAGTTGCACCAGTTTTTCATAAATTTGTTCATACCGTTTGCCAGTATTTTTGTTTTTGTTTTTTTTACTGGGTTGCTCCACTAAAGGTTAATTTACCAATTATTCTTCCACTTTTCCACTTATTTCTAAGTTGTCTACTGTTTTGCCCGACAGCAGAACTAAGAGGAGGTTTAGTTAAGTACACTCAACAAGCTAAAGCAGTTTTATCAAATGCAAAGTTATTTCACAGTTAGCTTAGTTACACCAAATATTTTTGAATATTGATTGTCAAACTTAGTCAGAACTTCTAGACGAAATGTAAATGACCTTTTATTGCTTCAAATAACATTAAGCCAAAAACAATATATTTAGCTTTAACTGTATTTTTCTTGGACTTAACTATTTCCACCTTTTGTATACACCGAAAAAAAAACTTTTACAAATGACAAACCGAGTTTTGTGTTCAAAATCTGTAAATAATATCCCAAGAAATATTTGTGTCCATGTTTGCCTCGTCCATAAATGTAAAAATATTTGGTTGTCTTGCTCTGAATTGGTTCTAATGCAAAATAAGCATTAATAGTACAAGCTTTTTGTGTTTTTTTGTTTTTTTTGTTTTGGGTTTTTTTCAGAAAGTGTAAAGTTATATTTAGCGAAGGCTTATGAAGTGTAAAATTGTCTATTACATATTTAAAAATATGGTCAAAAGCTGTTCAGACTTGTGAAAAAACTTCTCAAATAGCCCTCTGGTTAAGCACCCAGGCTAACTTTAGCATCATTAGCGGCTAATAGTTAGCCAGATGTGCTATTCTCTCTGCGCTTAGCAGTCATTCATATGATTTCTTTTTTGCATTGTTTTTATTTTATACCAAGTGTCAAACTGAATTTAAGTTCAGACTCTCAGCCCCTCTTAGCTTAGCGCTGACAGCATTTGTTTTGGTGCTTCCCAACTTTAGCGCTAGCCAGATGCTGTATTCTCGCATCGCTTAAAAATCATTTACATTGTATGTCATTGTTTCCTTTTTGCACCTGCCACTGAAAATGTTTTCACACAATTAATTTAAAGTTGTCAAAGCTTCTTTAGCACATCTAGGGCTCATTTTGTTGGCTTACAACAGCTTTACTAGTTTAAGTTACATTGTGACAAAAACTTTACAGCGTATCACAAAGCAGATTTTACTTGGGGTTTTTTCATGTGGTGCCACAAAATGTCATCATACCTCTTGTTTTATCCAACATGGACTAATTTAAAGCAACTCAGATTATTTAACTTCAAAAATATTCAGAGAAGGAAGAGCTGGTGCAACTGACTTCTGGTCACTCACCCGATCAAG